ACATCCTCTCACACACACACTCTCACACATACACACACACTCACACACACACATACATCCTCACACACACTCACACATACACACACACACTCTCACACACACACACACATACATCCTCTCACACACACACTCACACATACACACACATCCTCTCTCTCTCACACACACTCACAAACATACACACACAAACACACACACACGCTCTCACACATACATCCTCTCACACACACTCACACATACACACACACACACTCTCTCACACACTCACACACACATACATCCTCTCACACACACACTCACACATACACACACACATCCTCTCTCTCTCACACACACTCACAAACATACACACACAAACACACACACACGCTCTCACACAGACATACATCCTCTCACACACACTCACACATACACACACACACACTCTCTCACACACTCACACACACATACATCCTCTCACACACACACTCACACAAACACACTCTCTCTCACACACACACACACTCTCTCTCTCTCTCTCTCTCTCGCTCTCCAACCTGGAGTCTGTGAGAGGGGCAGGAAGGTGGTGCCCATCTGTGGCAGCCCCAGACAGCCATTGAGTCTACAGCCATGGGGTAGGGGTGGGGGTGGGGGATTTTTGAGGGGATTTTGGGGAGTCCAGACTGATGCTTTCAGTGGTTGCTCCTCACTTTTTATCTGCTTTTCGGTTCCGCCGGGTCTTCACTTGTGCACGGGCTTTCTCTAGTTGTGGCAGACGGGGGCTCCTCTTTGTGCTGATGCACAGGCTTCTCACTACGGTGGCTTCTCTTGCTGCGGGGACACGGACTCTAGAGCACGCGGGCTTCAGTACCTGCATCTTGCAGGCTCCAGAGCGCAGACTCAGTAGTTGTGACACACAGCCTTAGTTACCCGCAGCAGGTGGGATCTTCCCAGACCAGGGATGGAACCTGTGTCCTCTGCGTTGCCGGCAGGATTCTTTACCACTGGACCACCAGGGAAGTCCTACACCTCATTTTATTTTATTTTTATTTATTTATTTTACTTTACAACATTGTATTGGTTTTGCCATACATTGACTTGAATCCGCCATGGGTGTACATGTGTTTCCCATCCTGAACCCCCCTCCCAACTCCCTCCCCATCCCATCCTTCTGGGTCATCCCAGTGCACCAGCTCCAAGCATCCTGTATCATGCATCGAACCTGGACTGGCGATTTGTTTCACATATGATAGCTTACATGTATCAATGCCATTCTCCCATATCATCCCGCCCTCGCCCTCTCCCACCGAGTCCAAAAGACTGTTCAATACATCTGTGTCTCTCTTGCTGTCTCGCATACAGGGTTATCATTACCATCTTTCTAAATTCCATATATATGCATTAGTATACTGTATTGGTATTTTTCTTTCTGGCTTACTTCCCTCTGTTTAATAGGCTCCAGTTTCATCCACCTCATTAGAACTGATTCAAATGTATTCTTTTTAATGGCTGAGTAAGACTACATTGTGTGTATGTACCACAGCTTTCTTATCCATTCGTCTGCTGATGGGCATCTATGGTGCTTCCATGTCCTGACTATTATAAACAGTGCTGCAGTGAACATTGGGGTGCACATGTCTCTTTCAATTCTGGTTTCCTCAGTGTGTATGCCCAGCAGTGGGATTGCTGGGTCATATGGCAGTTCTATTTCCAGTTTTTTAAGGAATCTCCACACTCTTCTCCCTAGTGGCTGTACTAGTTTGCATTCCCACCAATAGTGTAAGAGGGTTCCCTTTTCTCCACACCCTCTCCAGCATTTATTGCCTGTAGACTTTTGGATAGCAGTCATTCTGACTGGCACCTACACCTCATTTTAAAGGGACAGTTCTCACTTGACGTGTGATGAAGCTGAGGCCTAAATGCCTGGGTGTGACCCCTAACTGGCTCAGCGCAGGGTGGCCCGCGAGCAGCAGTGAGCTGCAGGCTGGGAGATGGGGGTGCTGAGATCACCTCCGTTATTCATAGCAAACTTCAGGAAGAAGAGTGAAGTGGTTCATCCAGCCTCCCATTCTTTCTGGACCTTGGCGTGCCTCCAGCCAGCCTTTCCTGCCCAAGGAGCCCCTTCCACTATTCACAGATGAAGGGGCTGGATCAGTTGCTAGAGCCATGCCTGGCCTGAGTAACATAGCTGGTTCAGTGCCTAACACACACCTCTCCCTCAGGAAAAGTCATCATTGAAAAGATTGCTCTGAGCAGGGTTATGGGAATGGGCTGGGACCACTGCTAACCTCCCAAATGGATTTGTGGCTATCCTGTGCCAGAAGGGAAATGGAAAGGCGTTAGTCCGTCTGGGAGAAGAGGATGTCGTGGCTGAAACCCAAATTTCTTATTATGATTTTCTGATCTCTCTGGTCTCACCTCACCCCACTTCTCTGCTCTAGGCATGACAAAAGGGTGTTCAGTTCTATGAATTTGCTACACTCTTCCCTCCAGGGCTTTGCACACACCGTTTCCTCTGATGGAAACATCTTCCCCTCAAGTCCTGCCCTAAGCCAGTCAATCTGCCTCTCTTCCTTTCTTGCCAAGACTTTACTGGAAATAGTAGATATCCAGTCCCAAGGGCATGCCCTGGTCTATGGCCTGCCCACCCTCCTTTGCTTTTTTCCCAGATTTACAGTTAGAGGTGGCTACATTGTACACTTTTGGGCCAATGACACCATCGGGGGAAATTTTTGCTTACTGGATGACTTCTGCTTGGCAACAGGTGTGAGGTATGGTGCTGCCACCACCACCTGAGACGCTGCAACTGTAAGGTGATGAGTCCTGCTGAGAGGAAAGAGGGGAGGCCGAGGAAGGGTCAGGGTCCTCGGTGGCACTGCTGCGGTCACGTACAGCACCTGAAACAGCCTGCCACCAGACTTCTGTGAGAAGATAGGCCCCATTTGTGTCCAAGTTCAAAAAGGTCACTTCCTCCAGGAAGCACGCCCAACTACTTAGAACAGGATCAAAGGTCCCCTCCTCGGAGCGGTGGATGCACTGAACCTTTCATGCTGGTTCACCATCCATACCCTCCAGGAAGATGAGGTCAGTGGCAAGGGCCCATGGCGTCACATTTTATTCCTAACCCAGTATATTTGTTGGGTTCACAAGCATACCTGGAGCTGATCACTGGCACAACCTCCTTGGGAGCAAAGACAGGGCCTGGCCCTCATGAGCTTACGAAAGCCAGCTGAACTGTGACCAGCACATAACCTCCAGGGAAGGGGTGGGCAAGTACACACCCACCCTGGAGTGAGGTGGGGGCGCTCTTCAAGCTAAGAGACAACACGGATGTTCCCAGCGCAGGTAAGTCAGCATCACCTCAGACATGTTACTCTGCTGGGCAACTAAACAGTTTCCTCTACCTCGGTCGGGTTTTAGTTAAAACACCACCCAGCCACCCTGGTGGTCTCATCACCTGCAGCTTGGACTCAGCTGCACTTAGAAGGACAGTAAGACACCCAAGCTTGTCCCTTCCCATAGAAACACAAGTCAGAAGTTATAGGATCTCTTGACACTACAAGACATTCATTGTACCTTGGTGATTACTGAAACTCTTTACTGCAAAACATTGTCAAAGCCTAGCTTCAAGTCACCCAGTTTCAATCTTCACGTTTTAGGTGTTACCTTTCTTTCTCCTATGTCCCTCCCGAGGGCTAGTCCTGTCTCTCACAGCCAGCAGGACACCAGAGTATATATAGCATAGACAGGATGCATCCATACACTATTTCATTTAATCCTCAAAAGAATCAGCATTTTCATTTCACACAGAAATGACATGGGCAACACCCGCTGAGCACTACGGTAGCTACTTTATATAAGCTGTAGCTGCTATTGCTGCTAAGTTGCTTCAGTCGTGTCCAACTCTGTGTGACCCCATAGACAGCAGCCCACCAGGCTCCCCCGTCCCTGGGATTCTCCAGGCAAGAACACTGGAGTGGGTTGCCATTTCCTTCTCCAGTGCATGAAAGTGAAAAGTGAAAGTGAAGTCGCTCAGTCGTGTCTGACTCTTAGCGACCTCATGGACTGTAGCCTACCAGGCTCCTCTGCCCATGGGATTTTCCAGGCAAGAGTACTGGAGTGGGGTGCCACTGCCTTCTCCGATAAGCTGTAGCTAATCCTCCCTAAAAGGTGCCAATGATCTATATTCCCATTTGCAGGTGAAGAAAACTAAGGTTCAGCACGTAAGTGGTCAGAAGCCAGGTCTGTCCAAATCCAAAGCACTCCGCAGCTGGGCCGAGCCCAACAAGAGACCCACCCGTGGAATAACACCTGAGCACCAGCACATGAGTGGTTAGGGTATAAAAATTTATTACACATACAGAATATTACCACTAACAAATGCAGACAGGTGAGGACACCACAGTACGGGATGGAGCACGGCTAGCTCTTTGGAAAGTGAACAGGTCGGGTAGCTTGGAGCCTCATGCCACGCAGGTTGGCCAGTCAGATGGGAAAGCACATGCCTAACTCCAGGGACGTCGGGACATCCAGTGACCGCTCTGGGTGTCAGCGGCCTTCCCATCTGATCTGGGGCTTCGAAGGACGCCACACCCAGAAGCAAGCAACCGAAGCGAAGGGGCTTCCTAAGGTGGCCCAGGCTTGTCTCTGAAGTCACGGCAACACCAGAGTCAGCAGTGTGTTTAACTGGATGATTTCCACAAACTACACACGATGTTTCTAACCATCACACTCGGTGAAGTACAAAACATGAAGTTACAGGCTGTGGGAAGAGAAGGCAGCACCTTCCAGTCCCAGTTGGTCTGGGGGGTGAGGGTTGGGGGGGGGGTTTCTTTTTAAACCGAGCCCCTCATTTCGATGTACAAAAGAATTACTCTGATCGGTATTAAATTGTATTGAAAACAAAATGGACTAAAAAGCAAATACTATTCTATGTTGGGGTGAAAATGGGAGGAAAGAATGAGTCCTTCAAAGCAGGAGGGAGACAGTCGGGGAAGGTTCTGGGCCGTGACCCTTGGCGGTCACTCACGCTGCTCCATTTTTACTTTTGGTGGTCTCAGGAAGGTCCGGTTTTTCTTCTCTTTCTTTCCTTTCGTATTGGCTTGGAAGTTTCGCCAGCTGTCCACGCGACCATCTCGACTTTCCTAAACACAAAAGGGGTCTGAGGTGAGGAAACCAACTGGGGAAAGGAAGGGCTACACCTGCTCTGCCATCCCCCTTGTATGCCGACCTGGCCTGGCCCTCTGGAATTATTACAGTATAACAAAGCAGAGGCTTCCCCCCACTTCCATGGACCCAAGAAAGAATCATACCACCCCCTAGAAGGCAGGATGAGCCACAAGCTGAAAAGGAGGATGAGATAAGTAAAACTCATGACAATGAGGCTATCCTTTGTTGGGGACCTCTGGCCTAAATATTTAGTGTTTTTTCTAATAATAGTGCATGCTATTTCTAATCCTCATGTATGGATGTGAGAGTTGGACCACAAAAAAAAAAGCTGAGCACTGAAGAACTGACGCTTCTGAATTGTGCTGAAGAGAATCACTCTTGTGGAGAAGACTCTTGAGAGTCCCTTGGACTGCAAGGAGATCAAGCCAGTCAATGTTAAAGGAAATCAACCCTGAACATTCACTGGAAGGACTGATGCTGAAGCCGAAGGTCCAATACTTTGGCTACCTGATGCAAAGAGCTGACTCACTGGAAAATATCGATGTTAGGAGAGGTTGAGGGCAGGAAAAGATGGGATGACAGAGGATGAGATGATTAGATAGCATCACTGACTCAATGGACATGAACCTGAGCAAACTCTGGGAGACAGTGAAGGACAGGAAAGCCTGCTGTGCTGCAGTCCATGGAGCTGCAGAGTCAGACACGACTTAGTGACTGAGCAACATTTCTAACCCTCATAAAAAGCTGCAGTGTGTCATGCCACTACCACTTAACAAACAAGGACACCAGGGCTCAGAGGCTGCATCCTTTTCTCAAAGCCATCTGTTTGGCCAGCAGTATAGTCACTTTTTCCCCCACACCTTCCTTCTGCCCCTTAAAATTTGGATGGAGGTGTGAAACCAGCATAATGCCTGGCCGGCTGTGCTGGGGGGACCACAGGAATCCTTCCCCCTTACAGAGGGGCCTTCTCATTTTCTCTCTCTGCACACATGTGGTGGGACAGAAACAAAGCCATCATCTCTGGTTAGCCTATCCCTATCCTGAATCCTAAATGTTAACAGAAGGTAAGACCAAATGTGGCTCAATTCAGGAAACCGGGCTGAGCCTCTGAAGGATGAACCAGGATGTCAAAGAGGAATAAAGCCCGAAGTCTCTCTGCAGGCAGGACACTGGGGGTTACAAGAACCTCGGGTTCTACTCACAGACCTCTAAGTGGGGCACTGCTCCACGTTTATCCCTAAATTAAATGTGTGAACCACTGTCTTGAGCCCATTTGGAAGCTGCGCCTGTCACATCCCTGCCAACAAGCTCCGCAGCAGAGAGGCGGCTGAGCCAGAACTCAGTCCCCAAAGCCCCTACTCTTCCCCACACGCACCATCTCCCCAACAGTCTGCCCCAGGCAGTCCTGGGACTGACCAGCAATCAAGTTTCTCAGCTGGGAAGCTTTCTCCCTCTGGAATAAGAGTCCCCCATCACCTTGGAAACTCACCTCAAAATTTTTCTGCCACTCCCTTTCTCGTTTGGCTTTTTCTTGAGCTTCAATCTCTTCCTCCCGTTGTCGCTTCCTAGGAGGAAAACCAAACCACAGGATTTAGACAGTACTTGGAGACTGTGTTAACCATACAAGTTAGGAATCTTCCCCACAGAAGCCAGTGTACAAAGTAAGTCAATTCCCTAGGGTTCTCCTGGAAAGGGCTCAGAGCACTTCATGAATGTCTCATTTTAAAACATGCAGATGAGACCGTGGGCAGGACTGTGGGGCAAAATACAGACACTGCCGATACAGAGATAGATCAGGTCATCAAAGCCCAGCCAACACTAATCGGAGGTTCTGGGCTCAGACCCTGACAAAGCCATGTTGAGAACCCAGGCCACCTTACTTCCGTGACAGTGACCATCACAATAGCAAAAGTTCTCGTTCAGGAGGATTTCTGCACAAACCCTATCCCCAAACAAGCCATTTCACACAATCCCAACTAACAAAACCTAGTTATTGCTGAACACCAATCAACAATACAAAATATGTAAACTAAATTAACCTCAAGATGTTTATTTTTTTTTTTTTTTGGTCACACTGCTTGGCTTCTGAGATCTTAGTTCCCTGACCAGGGATCGAACCAGACCCTCAGCAGTGAAAAGCAAGGAGTTCTAACCACTGAACATCAGGGAAGCCCCAGCCTCAAGATTTCCGATGAGGAAGACAAATCACACTTTAGGACAGTTAAGTACATTCTAAGAGATCACATTGTACAGCACTAAATACTCACCAAAATTGCAGCCACTATTTACACAAATGGCTCTGGCCTCAGTGACTGCCTACTTCACTCCAAGAAATCAGGAAGAAAACACACAGCACTCTTGATTATAAACGCCCTAAGGACAAGCCTATTCAATATTTCCCAGAAGTGAGACAGAATGCCTTACCCCAGTGATTCAAAACTTTTGCTATTTCAAGTATTTAAATGATGCACTGCAGAGTAACTGCTTCATCAGAAAAATCCTCAAAGACCATCTTGGTTAATCTAGCTATTTAGACATGGCTTAAACGAATATACCAATATATACCTTTCATGCATCTCTTTGGCTTCTCTCTCTTTCCTTTTAATTTCCAGCTCAGCAAAGAGTTTCATTGTCTGTTTGTACACTGCTTGTTTGAACTATAAAAAAAAAAGAACAAAGAAAAGTAAATATTTTATCAGCAATTTGAATTAAGTATTTTTTGATGGCACCCAGGACAAAAGCAAATTAGACCAACAAGGAAAAACTGATGCTGGCTCTCTCCTGGGAGATAAATAACACATCCATCTATGAACTCTTCCACATGGGGATGATACAGAGGAGCCTTGTGCGGGTAAAAAAGCACCAATGAGGAAAACAAAAGCAACTTGATGCTTATCACAACCGTTGAAATTTCAGAGGGCCCTTTCCAACTGGCAAAAATAACATCCAATTTTTTTTTGTTCACATATTTTATAACTAGTCTGAGTGAGGCACCACTTGAGGTACAACTAGAGATACGCAGATGCCATCAAGCAGGCCGGTCCCGGAAGTCTCTCAGCTGAGGCAGAGCTACTAGTTGTCCCCATCCTCACCCCATTATCTCTTCCCCCTTCTTGTGACAATCCCTTATCTCAAGGCACATGGCCGCCCAGCATAAATGCCTGCATTTCCCAAGCTTCTCTGTAGCTAGGTGTGGCCATGTAACTTAAAAGTTTCAGCGAATGAGCTGTAAGGAAAAGTGATGCAGCTACTTTCCGGAATGTGCTTGGAGGGAGCACATTCTCCCTTCCTGCCCTCTCCTCCTACCCTGCTGCGAGGGGTAACAGCATCTCCTGGACTGCAAGAATGAAGGAGACACAGTTGGCGGCAGAGCTACTGGAAGCCCCCGAGCCCTGGAATCCACACAGTGCAGCGGCCATGCTCCCAAAGACGGCTGCACGGGGGAGAAAGGGCACCACCATCGTTCGGGGGCTCAGCTGGACCCACTGAAACTGGGTATCCTGACTCACACGTTGACAGAAACAGATAACACAGTGTTATATTTATAACACAATATAAACACTTTGTATATTTTCAATATACAAAGAAATATAAAAAACTAACCCATCATGCAGATTTCATAGGGTTTATATTCTAAAATCAGAGACACTAGAGCAAAGGATGATATATGGAGAAAAAGGGAAATAAAGGAATCCTCAAATTACTATCACTTCTGAACACTGTTACCTGCCAGGCACTGCTCAAGGAAAGCAATGCTGACAAACTCCAGTCCCTAATAAGGACAATTAAAGAGGCAATGGAATCCATATGAATATTTCAATATTTTTAAATGAACCATATCTGGTGATTTTAATTTTTTTATATTTCTCTGCTTTTTCTGAATTTTCTATCAGTAGCATGTGTTCCTTTATGATTGGGGTGGGGGTGGGGGAGGGGAATAACTAAAAAACAGGTACGGTTCTTAACAGCAGAGAAGGACCAAGGAATATTTATAAGAGTATTCAGAAAAGACTAAAAAGGATAAAGAGAAGGGAAAGTAGGAGAAAGCTGAGGAGAAAAAAATACAATACTGAAATGGAGTAAACCCAAAATCCAGTGGAAAAGATGGCCTAACAGATGGCACCCCACTCCAGTACCCTTGCCTGGAAAATCCCATGGACTGAGGAGCCTGGTGGGCTGCAGTCCATGGGGTCGCTACGAGTCGGACACGACTAAGGGACTTCACTTTCACTTTTCACTTTCACGCATTGGAGAAGGAAATGGCAACCCACTCCAGTGTTCTTGCCTGGAGAATCCCAGGGACGGGGGAGCCTGGTGGGCTGCCGTCTATGGGGTCGCACAGAGTCGGACACGACTGAAGCGACTTAGCAGCAGCAGCAGCAGCAGTTCTCAAGAAGCAGTGTTACCACACAGAAGAGGGGACCAACTGCTGATTGAAGAAGCAGACAGGAAGCAGCGCTAGCAAGACAGTTGCCCCTCTGTGAATCTTTTAAGATAAACATGTGGATCAAGTTACTTGACCTAACTGAAATTTTTCAGGCTAGTGATGCAATGAGACACAAATATATAAGTAGAATCTCTTTCTTAACCAATTCCCACTGAAGAACCCACAGGATTGACTGATGCTTGCCATCTCCCTGGAAGCATATGATTCCCTGAAGCACAATGGGGACCCGCAGCTGGTAGACTGCTGTGTACCCAGAGTCACTCTGGTTGCTCCCAAGCTGACTATCCCAGCTGCAGCTGCACTGTACTTAGGTGATTTAAAACATCACAGAAATTGATGAGTGTGGTTACAAAAACAAATATCTGCTGGTGCGTTTATTTGCTGGGTCTTCCTTGCTGCATGGGCTTTTCCCTAGCTGTGTGAGCAGGGACTACTCTCAAGCAGCAGTGCACGGGCTTCTCATTGTGGTGGCTTCCCTTGGTGCGGAGCACAGGCTCCAGGGCATGCAGGCTTCAGCAGTCCCCGGGCGTGGGCTCCGTAATTGTGGCTTCGTGCTCAGTTACTCTGAGGCCTGTGGGATTTTCCCAGATCAGGGATTGAACCCATGTCTCCTGCACTGGCAGGCGGACTCTTTACCACTGAGCCACCAGAGAAGCCCTAGTTGGTTCTTTTAAAACCAAGTGGGATGCTTTAGAAAGAGTTAAACCTAAGACTCTAAAAATAACTGCTGTTGAAGTCAAGATACAGGTGAGGTATCTGAAAAAAACAATCTAGGATTCTGCTCTTGATCTGCTTCATGGGTACCTCAATTTGCAATGTTCTTCAGGAGAAATTAAAAGCAGGAACTATGGACGATGCTTTGAGTGTTTTATAAAGTCAAGTGTGAGCTCCAACAAGCAGACACATCCTCAAAGGAAAAGCCGTAGTCCTCTGTCCCCCAAAGAGTTGGATTTTTCAAAAAGCAGAATGAATGTACCCGTTAATATTTTAAGGTAAACTGCTTCCAGCATGTGCACATCAATCTTCAAACCTCCCTCTCTTTAACCCAATGGCTGTGAACCATTCACATAAAATGAAGTGGCTTTTCCCATTTCAAACCTACCAGCTCAGGGTCATCCTCCTCCACATTTATAGGCTTTCCTTCCTTCTTTAATTGCTTTTTTCGCTCTTTCACCTAAAAAGAATTTTTTTTCCATCAAAAAATGAGCACTTATACTTTGAGAATATCCATTAAGCTGCACACAAATGATGTGTGCATTTTTCTACAGTTGTAACAAAAAGTCTGCATTGAAAAAAGATAAGCCCCTGCCTCCCCTCCAAACCAGCAATGCAATAGAAGAAAATGAGGAACTGGGGTCCTTTCTCCACCTCATCTAAAATCCAACACCGTGGGACAAACAGGGGAGCTGTGCCCAACTCACATACCAGGCCAGATCCAAAGAGTCTTTGCTACATTGAACAGATTATGCATTTATCTTTCAGGGCTTGTGGTTATATGTTTATAGCAAAGAAAGTAGATCTGTCAAGTTTTAAAGAAGCTACAGAATTTGTAGCATCAAATATATGGTTGTTTTCTGGCATTTCTACACTTGCATTCTGGGAAACCTCTTTAAACCAACAATTTTCACATCATTTTGGCCACCACTGAGATCCCCCCCAGAAAATAAATATACCCATTCACCTAAGAATGGCATTTACTCCAATAAATAACCATTCAGTCCAGCAAAACGTCAAGTGCCTTCCAAGCTCAAAAAGGCCCTACTGCCACCCTGTGGTCAGACAGCCTGACAGTGGTGGCTCCTTTACAGGCAAAATACAGAGGAAGGGTAACTATTATAATAATTCGTGGACAAATCGTCAGGTCCTTTCCTGGGTGTCTACCAGAATCTGGCCCTTGAATTCCAGCATCTGACCAACAAGACACAGTTATGGCAGTCTATCTATTCTTTTTACTCATTTCCTTCATCTTAACTGGCCTCATTACTATGATTGGTTATAGAGTTGTTACAGATACCAAAGCTCTTCAAATAAAAGGTCACATCTATATTCCTTCCCAATAGAAATTGCCCTTATAAAACAGCCTCAAGAGTTTTGCCCCAGCAAGTGAAAAATTAAAACAGAGACCTTTCTTAAGATAGCTAGTTAGAAAACAGTTAAGATAGTTTCTTAACACTTCCCACCACTCAGGACATTTAGGTTATTGCAAAAAAATAAAGCCAGCTATAACTGAATTCATTTCAGTTGAGTCCTTCCCAACCCTGCTATTAACAGACATGTACCTCCTCCTGTTTTTTTTTTTTAATGTACTCATATGGCCTTGCCAGACGTTCTCAAGCCCCTGTTTCAGCCCTTTCACAGAGACAAGGATAACAGTCCAGGGCCAAGCAGCATGGCGGCTCCACTGTTCCACTCTCAGAACGCGGCACAGCGCCGAGAGGACAGGAAGAGCTTGCCACACCCAGGACTGCTGGGGAAAGAGGCAGGTGCAGCGTCCTGGCCACGCACCCTCAGCGCTAGGAGTGAATGCCAGCTTCAGGCACGCACTGCGCGTGGCCACCGCCGCCGCAAAGGAGTGGAGACCACAGGAGCAGTCAGGCGTTGCTATGTCAGCATGAACATTTACCCTCCGACAGGGTGCCCAAGGCGTGCTAATACTTCCTGTAAACACAGCAGCACTATAAATACTTACGGTGTGCTCCACGTATTCTTTTCCTGCCTGAATTACATCCAGGGCCCTCTTCTTTTGTTCCTGATCCAGTAGCAACTTGTAAGCTTTGTCCACAGCTAATGCAAAACATTGAAATTAACTGTTTCTGCAAACACCCTCTCAAAGTCTGAACTCTACTCAGGCAGTGCAAATGGACTTGTGCCATCTAAAAGCATTCCCTACTTTGTTAAATTATTTACTGTTGTTACACTAATTTAAAAACATACAACCACAGCAATGACTTTCTTTGAGAGCCTTGGAAGAAAATTAAATATACGCTCAAGGCTAATTACACCATATCTAGATTTAATTCAGTGATCAAATTCTGCCAATTATTTTTTATGTTCAAAGAAAAAAAAAAAATGAGCCTACGCAGTAATAGTCTTTGTTGGCACACACAAGGTTTAACTAAGCAAAGTTAAGGTCTATTTCTAAACAGCAACATTCTGCTTTGAATGACAACTATTCTGAAAACCACAGCTTCTTCATGACCAGAAGACAAAACTACAACATTCTTTTCTTGATCCAGGACTAGGAACAGTTAGTCCTTAGCATTGATACAATGTTACTCACAAGCAGGTAAATTTACAAATACCTTCAAAAGCCTTTTGTGCTCTGTCAGCATCATCTTGATTTTTGTCAGGATGCACCAGTATGGATAACTATAATCAAAGAAAAGTTAGTTTTTCAGTAAGAGGAACATTTAGTAACTCTTTACCTTCACTGCACCTCTCTACAACCAAAAGCTCTAAGATACTAGGGCAAAAACTGTTAGCCAGAAGCAATTTTTAAAAAATTGATAAATGTCATAAAATGCCCAGAGGTATTATATTAGTCCTTAATAAAATTCAAATATCAACAGGTAAATGCACACAGGTGGAAAACAGCTAGTTGAGAACAAATATCAGCCTGGCATCATGAAGATGCTCTGATAATTTGGGTGAGGGAAGGGAAAAATGAAAAGTACCAAGTTCCTTTTATGGTTCTTGTATGGAGCACTAAAGAGTATTAAACAGGTCTGAGATATCATCTCTTTCCTGAAAGAATTTCTAATATGAAGCAGAAGCTCTCAGTTCCGGCTGTGCTTGAACCTTGTGAAGATTTTTAGGAATACAGAGGTCTACTTTCCAACCTGAGACCTTCTGAATGAGTCGCTGGCATCTGTACTTTTAAAATCTCTTCTAAATCTCTACTAGACTGTGTATCACACAGACTTCCCAGGTGGCTCAATGATAAAGAATCCGCCTGCCAATGCAGCAGATGCAAAAGATGTGGATTCCTTCCCTGGGTCGGGAAGATCTCCTGGAGTAGGAAATGGCAACCCACTCCAGTATTCTTGCCTGGAAAATTAAATGGACAGGGCAGCCTGGCAGGCTACAGTCTATGGGGTGGCAAAGAGTCAGGCATGACTGAGCACAGCACAGCAACAGAAAGGGTATCAATTGATATTATAGAAAGGAATTGGTGTTGATTTGTTGGGTGTGACAGGCAGTTATGCAAGAAAATGTCCTTTTGGGGAGGGGATATATGTATACTTATGGCTGATTCACATTGTTGTATAGCAGAAACACAACACTGTAAAGCAATTATACTCCAATTAAAAAAGAAAAAAGAAAATGTCCTCTTTCACTTTGGTGGGATAACTGCTTCAGTATTTAGGTGTTAAGTATCATGGTGTCTGTAATTTACAATTCAGCCAAAAATACACAGCTACCGAAGGACACCATTGCATACAGATGGTGAATATATGGGCTCTTGTTGCTTTATTCTTTTTAAAATATAATTAAAACTTCTTATGACTAAAAAATTAAAAACAAAACCCTCCACCGGGGACCCTTTCAGACAGCCAGGGTTAAGAACCACTGACCTGTCAATGAAAGACAGAAATGGCGTGAACATGGGGACTGTGTTGGGATGAAAGCCAGTGGGCATCTAATGCTAAGCCCAGCACTACTGGAGCCAGAGTCCTGGCTTCCAATTCCAACTGCAGTCACCAACTGGCTATGAGACCTTCAGCAGTCCACTTAATCTCCGCCTCAGTTTCCTCCTCTAAGTGGGACAACACTGTATACCTTTAGATCACTGGCTTGTCGTAAAGATGAAATGAGATAATGCAAGTAAAGGACTTAGCATACCAATACACATAAACAACAGCACATAAAGAAGACCTATTCTAACTGCTTTATGTGTGTAACCGCATTCAAATCCTTATAACAATCCCAGGGTAGTCACCATTGTTACAAGAATTTTACAAATGAGGTAACAGGGCACAGAAAAGTTGAAAGAAACTTGCCAGAGCTCACAGTGCTTGTAAGAGGTACAGCCAAGACTGAAACTCAGGTCATACAGCTTCAGCACAGACGCTTAACTACTAGGGCCTATTAACGACTAAATAAAAAATCTTACTGAGTTCTTTGTATTGTTATACAAATAGTCTAAAAGTTTTTACTTTGAATTTGAATAAATGCTTATTTAAGTGGGAAAAACTGCTAATGTACTACATTAGAAAACTAGAAATTGTAGAAAAAGAGGCAAACGCTGAACATAAGTGCAGAGTAGAACTCAGGAACCAAAAAGACTATCAAGTTATATCATGGGAAATGACTGGGTAGGCAAAGATTAAAAATACCTTGGCTTAATAATAGATCTGAAGACGATTATGAGTCAGCAATGGCACGGCAATGACTGTATTGAAAAAGCAATCAGGGAACTCCCTGGTGGTCCAGTGGTTAAGACTCTGTGCTTCTACTGCAGGGGGTGCAAGTGTGATCCTTGGTGGGGGAACTAAGATCCTGCATCCTTCACGGTGTGGCCAAAAAAACCACTTTTTTAATAAAGTACATAAAAAATATAAGCTGAAGAAAAAAGAAATTTTAAAGGCATGAAATATACAGAAAATTTAATTTACAAAGACATTAGAGGGAGTATGATTATTCAGCTCATAAAGGAAAAGTCCAGCTGTCAAAACTGGACTGAAAGTCAAAGTGTTGGTAGCTCAGTTGTGTTTGACTCTTTGTGACCCTATGGACTGTAGCCCACCCAGCTCTTCTGTCCATGGGATTCTCCAGGCAAGAATACTGGAGTGGGTAGCCATTCCCTTCTCCAGGGGATCTTTCCAACCCAGGGACTGAACTCAGGTCTCCAGCAGGGATCGAACCCAGGTCTCCTGCATTGCAGGCAGATTCTTTTCCATCTGATCCACCAGAGAAGCCGCAGACTGGAAGGGTGTTTTAAAAGGCTACTATAAACTCTATAGCCTGAGTTATTAAATATTAGAATGAGCAATAATCAGAGGTCTTGGATCTCCTTTCTGAGAGAATTTCTGAAAGCACTCTTTATATTAAACCAGATATCTTTTGAGTATTCATATAGGTTCACAAAAAATATAATTATTGAGGAATGGGATCTTAAAAGTAAATCACTGCTATGAATCATTTAACATGTACTCTCCTAGGAGCCAGGGGATTTGGTAAGTACTGTACAATATGACTCTGTGAAAGCTTTCTACTCTACCTTGTACTTTCCCTTCTTAATTAAGGGGCTGGACAGATTCTATTTGGATGTAAAATTCATCCTATTCATAGGTAAGCTATGGTCATTCAATTATTTAATATTAAGTCACTGTAATTTTTTTTAAGAATTACAAAATTTAAGAAAAAAAAAAGGTTAAATTTTTGCCCAAAAGTTGTAACAGTTAAGTCCTAAGAAAATCACATGCTCAACACTTTTTCAAAAGGCTCAAACTCCACCTATTACAGGAACACAGTACCATACCTGCCGAAACCTCTTTTTTATTTCTTCATCTGTCACTTCAGGATCTATCTGAAGAACCTGGAAGAATCAAAATCAAAACTGTAAAAGAGATTTTAAAAATTTATAGGTTTAAGAGATGCCCAATAATTATAATTGGCATCTAACAGTTGTCAGCATGCTAGAACAGTTCTAAAAAATGTTCAAGAAACAGAAATGAGTAAACCAGTAACAGAGTAACAGCTATAGTGTTTCAGGGTTCTCAGTTAATTCAGTGGTTACTTTCACTCCATCAGAAAAATAATAAATTACCCTATAACCAGTACATGCTTCCAGACCATGAGAAAAATGTTGCCTTCCTCCTTCATTCATTCCTTTTCATTAAGAAAAGCACCCACCCTCTCCTTACCTTTGCAAATGTGGAGAAAGTATAGCAACTCAACAAGGAAATAATTAGGCTGGCTACCTGTTTGTTTTTTTAAATGAGGGAAAACTGTTGATCTTAAAATAAAGTACCCCCCCATAAGACTATCTGAATTTTTTTTTAACAAGAGTAAAAGATGTTTCTCAGTTTTCACAATCAACTAAATAAAAGATAATTACAACTGCAAGTCATTATAAAATTATTACATACAATTTGGAGGTTTAAGTAGAGTGATGTGGTAAGTGGAGATACATGTACATGCACACGTTTTCATCTATCCAGGCAGTCTGTCTTGTGGTTGGTGCATTTAATCCATTTACATTTAAGGCAATTATCAATATGCATGATGATATTACCATTTTCCGAATCATCTGCGGTTTATTCTGTGTAAGTCTTTTCCTTCCCTTGTGTTTCCTACCTAGAGAAGTTCCTTTAGCATTTGTTGTAAAGCTGGTTTGGTGGTGCTGAATTCTCTTAACTTTTGAGTGTTTGGAAAGCTTTTGATTTCTCTGTCAAATCTAAACAAGAGTCTTGCCAGGTAGCATATTCTTGGTTGGAAGTTCTTGCCTTTCATCACTTTAAATATATCCTGATTTTCACCTCAATTCAGAAATTCGACTTGGCTCCATGTTAAAATTTACACAAATTTACTCAATGGTTCTCAGCCCAGAGTGGAAACCTGAGAGCAATGCCTGGGGCTTACTCTAGGAAACTCTGATTCCAGCTCAGCAGAACTAGGGTACAGTGAAATGGCAGGAAAATCTGTTATTTTTTGTACAATACGGTTTAAAAACAAATTTTATCATTCTTCTCCAATCCTGGGTATCCTGGTGTTGACATTCCTCATCAAGGATTCTGATCCCACCACCACAACATAGATTCATTCAAACATTTACACAGTAGCTACTACCTGCTGAACATGTTACTATACACTTAGAAATGCAAAGATAAATAAAGGAAAACATTTTTTAAATTACCATAAACAGTTTTTTAAAGAAGGGTTCATTTTAAGAAATACAATTAAACTGGATGATTTCACAGTTTACTCCATAGATTCAACATAGCATCTATTTATTTACTTAGTATTCAAGGCGTAAGGAAGAGCTAAAGGGCAGAGGGTGAGAAGGTCTGTTGGAAATTCAGAAAAGCAGGCCCCACATCAGTGTGACTGAATCAGAATCAAGATTTCAACAAGACCCCCAGGTGATCTGAATCATAATACAGCTTAAGATGCCTGGTTAGAAAAGACGACAGAGGCCAGAAATAAGTGTGTTTGAGGTTAACAGAACTGATGATCAGTCATTAAAGGGGATGAAGAGAAAAAAAATCTTGAAATGAAAAACACATACCAAAGAAGTTAAAACTGAAAAATAATCTGCCAAACGTAGTCAGATGCTTACAAGGTCTCAGAAAAACTTGACAACAAGTAATGTCAAGATTTATAGCAAGCTGTCCAAACATTCAAACAGCCCACCTTCAGGAGCAGAGTTATTGGTAGGCAAGGAAGCTGAATCACCCCTACATTCAAGAGACTTCTGAAGGTTACTACAAGAGCATGCCCATTCTCAAATGTCAGGCATACAACTGGGGATGAGGGAAAAGGAAAATCGTTAAAACAAAGACTTTTCAAGAATGAGTGTGTGGCCCCACAATACCGCTCCAAGGGAGAAAGGAATTGGGGGGGGGGGGGAGGTGGAGTCACTCAAAAGGAAAAATGCACCTAAATAAGATTTACAAAGGGAGATAACTGCACACACACAAATATTTAGAGAACCCTACCTTTCCTGGTTCTGAAAAAAAGGAATGCATTGGAGCAAACCAATAGAAGTCCAGCACACCCAAAAAGGTGTTCAGATGAATGTGAAAGGATGGAAATCATCCCGCCTTCACAAAAAGAAAAAAGCCTCAATAAAGCTACAGTCTAGAACCAATCATGCCAAATGTATTTCATAAACCTTGACTGGTTCCCAGGTTAAAAACTAAAATAGTGGGGAAAAAAAACAACAAAAAAAAACTAAAATAGTTATAACTGAGGGTTTTTTTTAGGACAATTAGAGTTATTTGAGTGTGGACTCTATGCCCGATGATGTTTATTGAACTGCAGTAATGTGGTCTTTCCTAGGTGTGGTAATAGTGTTGTGATTATGTGGAAACGTGTTCTTGTTTGGAGAAGAGGCAGGCTAAGATACTTAGGCATGAAGCATCAATGTCTACAGCTTACTTTCAGATGATATGGCAAAAATGAAGAGGGTATGTATAAATATAGGGCTTTCCAGTCACTCAGAGGTAAAGAATCCACCTGCCAATGCAGGAGACACAGGTTCCATCCCTGGGTCGAGAAGATTCCTGGAGAAGGAAATGGCAACCTGCTCCAGTATTCCTGCCTGGAAAATCCCATGGACAGAGGAGCCTGGTGGGCTACAATCCATGGGGTCACAAAAGAGGTGGACATGATTTAGCGACTAAACAAAAATGTATAAATATACACATACCAGCACACACAGGCCAAAAGTTATTTTTCCAAGACTCAGATCATATACACACTGATCACTGCAACATATATTCACTGAGTACCTTCAATCCAACTCCTAATCCAACTAATCCAGCTAATCCAACTCCTTTCCTGTCTTTAAGCATTGGAGGTGCCATATGTAGCCATAAAACACAGTAAAGACAACAGGCCTATACCAGCCCAAACGTCTTTGAAGCCAGTTTACACATTTGATATAAATTTATGAGCAACTGGGATTGCTAGATACTGTGCTCACTACTGTTCTCTTGGAATTTAAGGTCCACAAGGGAAGGAACAGACAAGTCACAAGTAATTCTTACCAAAATGATAAATACTATGTCAATCACTATGACTCTAAGGAAGCACACAGGTCTGTTCAGACTCTTGGAAGATTTTTCTGAGCTCCTACTATGTCTCAGGCTTTGGGGATGCTGCAAAGAAAAATCCACAGTCTTGGACCTCAGAGAGTGAATAAATCATCACACAGAAATGAAAATGCTTGACTGTGGCATTTATATCAATATAAGTTCCTAAACTCAAATAAAGTGCAATTGTCACCTTTAGGATCTTCTGCTTGAAAGAGAAATCCAGTCTTAGATCCTATCTGAACTCTCTGACCTGTGAATAATGTGCAAGTTCCAGAGTCCTGTGAGACAAATATTTTTCTTTGCAAAGTGCCAAACAAGATAAACAGAAAACAAAAGTCTGTGGTGCTGCCTTCTGGGGCTTTAAAGTTAAATAGAAAAAAGGAACATGAAGAAGGCAGGACTGAGCAGGAGCACAGATTCATCTAAGCTTATAAAAGGAAGTGGGGGAGGAAACATTCTTAGAATGCATAAGAGAAAGATGCTCGCATAATAGCTGATGGTTAGAAATATGTCCAAATAGGGAGCTGCACTGATGGTGGGGTAGGGGTAGGGAATGCCCCGTGGATTAGAATTCCTGTAATAAGACCCCTCGGCATCCCTCTTCTACCTGATGTTCAGTAAAATGGTACATAGGACGACTACTCACATTTCAATTTACAGCCAATAGGACAGCTATGATGACATCACCTCTTACTAGGAAAAGACCAGTCTGCTTGTTCTGGAGAAAAGTCTGATTCATTTAGATGTCTCAAGAGTTGTTGCATGAAGAAACAGAAGTATTTCCCTAAATTGGAGATTTTTTCCCTACACGGAAGATTTTGTTTTTTCCTCAACAGAAAGATTTCCTAAATTTCTAGGCATACCTAATCCTGACTTAGGGCCAAAAATCAACTTTACAAGAAGACAATGGGGGTGGAGGGTGGATGAATTAGGAATTTGGGATTAACAGATACACACTACTACATATAAAACAGATAACAAGGACCCACTACTATACAGCACAGGGAACTATATTCAATACCTTGTAATAAGCTATAATGGAAAAGAATCTGAAAAAGAATATATATTTACATATATACACACATACACGCACACATATATATACATGACTGAATCACCTTGCTATACACCTGAAACTAGCACAACACTATATATCAACTATACTTCAATTTAAAAAGAAGACAAGGACACCCATACTATAAAGCGGCCAGAGTATTTGTCAAAAAGAGAAAAGACAAAAGTTCTAATGGACAGTCATGGAGTCCTACAAACTTAAACATCACCTTGCACCTCCTCAAGTGTATCAACCTTACCGTATTCTTTACACATTCACACACACTTCCTACAGCCAGGACAGGTGCTATGGAGCAGTCAGTTCCACTTCCAGAACCACATTAACTGGCAGGACGGCAAAATCCTAGCATTCACCCTGGTCCCAACAGTGTTACTCCTCATCAATCAGATCTGCATAGAAAACACCAATTATCTTAACGAATAAAGGGGTAAGCTATACAATCAAGTGATCCCCGTTCACTGTATATACTACCTCAATTTAAAAGTACAACAGAATGGATATACTGTCAAATTCTTTTATCACCTTTCAAATATATCATCTTCCCCTCTGTCCTCCCCAAAATCATAACTAAATGATTAATGATCAGGTAAGTTATGCTTAATTAATGATTAGTTATGATTAAGTTTCAGCTTTTTCATTTTCTTCTTCTCTTTCAAATATGTTAAGTGGGACCAGGCAAAGCAGACATCTACTTCAGGTAAAGGAGTCAAGATGGCCCAAACAGAGCGTCAGAGTCTATCTGGGGCAAAGAAGACAGGAACCCCAGGAGAAATGTCAGCCAGTCACGTGGTGCTGGAACCCAAACTGGGTGAGAAGAGCTCCACAGAAGGGGAGCTCGACAGAAGTGCCAACGGGGGTTGAAGAGGGCATCTCTATGGACAGGCAGCCTGCCCCGCGGTGGCAGAACCTAAGCAGGGTGAGACTGCCAACACGGATGGGCAGAGAGTGCAGGAGCCCACCAAGGACATCTCCGTGAAGCCCAAGCCTAGCGTGGGGGGCGCAAGCCGAGGCACAGTGAGGGGGTGCCCTCGGAGGAGGGCATCAGTGTTACAGAGCAGCCCAACTGGGACTAGCAGCCCAGGTATCACTGGCACGGAGAGCTGGAACATGAGCAGTGAGGAGGGTGACCTGGAGGTGGAGTCAGAACCCAAGAAAGGTGACGAGGGTGTCCCAGAGGAAGGCAGCCCAACACGCGGTGTCAAAGCCAGAGCAGGCCAGGAAGGATGCCGGACCCAAGAAGGATGAAGACAGCTCCCGGCGGGTGGGGGGCAGGCACGGGAGGCAGAGCCAGGAGACGCACACCCGCAGCGAAGGCGACCCGCGGGGGAGAGCTCAGAGGTGGCGAGAAGGGCTTCTGCACAGGGAGGCAACCTGGGGTGGGGGTGAGAGTGAGGGAGGGAGGGGAGGGATGGGAGGTCAGACTCCTACGGGGGGATCAATTAAGTACACGTGTACATATTAGAGACAGTGGGAGGGCCTTGGTTAAGAATTTGCCTTGCGGTGCAGGAACAAGGGTTTGATCCCTGATCAGGGAACTAAGTTCCCACAGGCCAAGGAGCGACTAAGCCTGCGCGCCATAACTACTGAGCTTGAGAGTCCATGCAATGCAACCAAACATTCCATACAATGCAGTGAAGATCCTGTGTGCCACAACTAAGACCCAAGGTAGCCAAATGAATAAATAAAATACCAGTACTTCAAAAAATAAAGATAACAGGAGCCAGACTGCTATCAGAGAAGGGAACTATGAACATTGGAAGAGAAACGTCCTAGAATAAACCCTGTGCACAGTGTTGGGTTGAACTGTTATGTAATACATGTGTATGTGTGTACACACAGACACACACACGCCTTAGCCCTATCTACCAACAGGCCCTGGGAGTAATGACTATGGCAATGGGTATGCCCAGCACTCAAATCTTGACTTCTAAATATCATTCTTCATTGAAAGGAATTCAAGAGATCCTCAAAGAAATGGTTAATTCAAGGCTGGATTCAGAGAAGTACAAGAGTGCCTACGAATCAAAGAATGATTAAAAAAAAAAAAGATAAGCACTGGCATTAAAGTAACCTGCTGGTCAAATCTGGGATATCTGAACAACAGAATAAATAATATTGAATCATAGCCCACTGAATAAAATAGGAAACCCCAAGTCTACACTGACAAGTGAAAAAACTGATATCTCAACAAGGACAGTATATGCACACATTCTCAAAGTGTTCCGAGAAAGGAGAAAAAAGTTAATTTCATAAGCAAACCTAGCAGGCACTTCTTTAAGAGATCAACTTAACATCATTAATAATAGGCTAAATCAAAATCATGTTCCACTTTACAGGTGACAGAGAGAATGCAGTGTCACTTCTGTGCTATTCTTGTCAACATTGCATAAACTGAATCCCACGAGAAGCCACTATGACAAGAAGTCTGCACACCTCAATGAAGAATAGTCCCCACTCACCAAGACTAGAGAAAGCCCCCTCACAGCAATGAAGACCCAGTGCAACCAAATAAATAAATAATACTTTTCAAAAAATCTACACTTCAAGTTAAAAAAAAGTTTTTTTTAATAAACAGGTGTTTTCTTAGATGGAATTATACATGACTATTCTTGCTGTTTGTATATTTCTAATTTTTATAAGAAACATGATTTACTTTTATCAAGAAATATTTGAAGTTATAAAACTAAGGAAATTAGTGCTCGCTTCGGCAGCACATATACTAAAAAAAATAAAACTAAGGAAATTCAAAAGTGTACAGGCCTGTCTATAATCATATGATCATTTTTTGCTTGTTGAGTTATTTTATTGTGGTGAAACAGGAAAGTTTTAACAAATAAATTAAATCAAAGATCATAAATTTACCAAGGCTAGCTATTCCATCACACCTGAAAATAAATCTATATATATCTGGGTTACTAAATGACAGCAAGCTCTGCTCACAATAAAGCCACCCAAGGTCAATTCCAACTATGGACAGCACCAATTAGGTGTGTGTTTGAAGTAAGTCTGCCCACAGCTAGGTAAAATTCCTTATTCCAGGCCACATGAATATCAGACAGCTCACCTCAAACGGGTTCAAATTGAAGTAGGAAGAACCAGGACGAGTCAATCTTTCAATCTGATTTTTGGACGTTAGAACTGAATCTCTCTTCTCTATTTGTTTCACCTAAAATAAAGGGAATAAAAACCTCATTAGTAAAGCTCAGTAATGAACTGTAAATTGTCATCTCAACAAGTAACTCACTGACATGGTCAGCAAACATTTATTTGCGTGTCTACATGTTCAAGGTACTTTGCTAAACACTTTAGGAATAATTACAACAGCTACCAACTGACTTTTAATATAATGTAAAATTACAAAAACTTTACAGGTGTTTATTCCTCTCAACAATCCCTTATGGTAGGTACCACCATTACCCCCATTTTTCAGATAACAAACCTGAGACTTTGGTCAACTGACTTGTAACCACTCAACTTTTTTGTAACCACTCAGATTTTTGCCCAATCAATCAAGTTATAAACCAGAATTTTTAACCCCAACAGTTTGACTCCAGAACAGGGAGCAAGAAGATTCAAAAATAAATATGTCACAGCTATTACCTTCGAAGAGTTTCTACTCTAAAGATGGAAGACGTACTTGTGAATGCTTGAACTTAATTCACAATTTTTTAAGAAAGGAAAAATACAATTACACTGAAATAGACACTAAAAAAATACACCTAAAAAATATGTGGGAGGGAGCAAATAACTCTACCTTCCTAACTCTAATAAAAAAATCCCTGTCCCAAACACAATACTAAGGAGAAAAAGCACCAGGCTAGTCCCAGAAAAACATCCTTGGTGCTGTCGTCAGAACTGAAATTTTAGTTGGAATGAACCTCTGGCATATTATATATACTATCTTCATTTCTATGGCCAAAACAGAGTTGGAAAGGATTTCAATAACAGGAAAAGCTAATCCTTCTCAGTATCTTGCCTCTTAACTCTGGTAAAATAGCTAATCTTTCTCAGCATCTTCCCTCTTAACTTTTGTAAAATAGCACACCACTCCCCACCTTCCACCATACTCTCTTTTTCCCAGTCTCATTTTTCCTCATAGCACTTACCACTACCTAACACTATATTGTACATCTGTTCATTATTTAGCCTTCTCTATAAGATGAAAGCCCTATGAAGACAGGATTCTTCGTTCTGCTGTCAACTACCATTTCTCCAGGAGCTAAACAATACAGGACCTAGTGCGTATCAGGTGCTCAATAAACATTAGTTGAATGATGATTAAACAGCATTTTCTCTCATTAAACAAACCATGCCAGTTAATGTATAGATCTAAAATTTAAAAAAGGTATCTGCAGGGCAAGCTCTATCACTGCTGGAGTTTCATAAGAGATACGGCTCATTTCAATGGGGCCACAAAAGGGAAAATCAGACACCCATGATGTTTGTACAGTACCTAATATGAAACCCATAGCCCATGAGCATATAACTCATTTCATGAAAACCCTTCTGTTCATAATCACTGGGTAGCTAAGAGAGCAAACTACAGAAAAACAGTCATAAGTCATTGCCCCCAAGAGAAAATATTCCATCACACACACACACACACACACACACACAAAATAACAGTCGTCTGTTAATACAGCTCACAAATGAAATTGACATTAAAATTTAAACAAACCAGGATTGCTTTAAAAAAAAAAAACTAGGAAATTAAAACAAGTTCCCCTATAACTGTTCAGTACTCATTATTGTTAGTTGCTCAGTGTCTGACTCTTTACGATCACATGGACTGTAGCCCACCAGGCTCCTCTGTCCATGGAATTCTTCAGGCAAGAATATTGCAGAGAAGCCATTCTCTTCTCCAGGGGACCTTCCCCACCCAGGGTTCAAACCCCCGTCTTCTGTATAACCAGCAGATTCTGGACAGATTCTTTACCATCTGAGCCACCAGAGAACACTGGTACCAGCAAATTAACACTTCAAAGTGAATTAGGCATTTTTAAAGTAGACTATAAATGGACGTACTACAGTTGTTTTAAAGTGTATTACTTCGGAGAAACTACTATGTAACAAAATTGAAGTCACTCAGTCGTGTCCGATTCTTTTCGACTCCATGGACTGTAGCCTGCCAGGCTCCTCAATCCATGGGATTTTCCGGGCAAAACTACTGGAGTGGGTTGCCAGTTCCTTCTCCAGGGGATCTTCCCGACTCAGGGATGGAACCCGGGTCTCCCGCACTGCAGTTAAGACTCTTTACCGTCTGAGCCACTAGGGAAGCCGAGCTATGTAGCAATCACTGCTACAAATACCAGAGATAAAAGGTGAATGTAAAACGGCGCTTAACTCTGAACACATCACAGCCAGGTGGAGAGCAACTCCATTCTTCAAATCCCCGCCAAGCTAAAGAAGTTCACATTCAGCCTTGTTTTTACTTTTTACAAAGTAGCTTCTTCTTTATATTTTATGAAACTTTCTTTTAACCCTCATTAAAACTCTTGTTTTAATAATAAACTTCGTTCTACAAACGTGAAAATTGATTGGCAAAATCAATGGCTTGAAAGAATTCAGTCACAGTCACATTAACAACCATGCAAAAATCCAATCCGAGGTCCTATGACTCCAAGAGTCATCCTTTCCTTTCATTTATTCGTTCACCCACTCATTCATTCATTTACTCAACACATATTCACTGAACTACTACGCAGTACCCGACGGAGATGCGACAGTAAATGAGGCTCAAACCAAACTTACTCCCGTCCTAACATGATACCAAACTATTATCTGCTCTAAGACCCTGAACAAATTATTTCACCTCCCTAAACCTCAGGTATGTCATCTGTAAAATGGAGACAGTGCCTACATGGCATGATGCACAATGCCTAGCATTCTCCAATGGCAGAAATAACTACTAAAACTCACTACAGAGGACTAAGACTGAAGAGTGCTTCCGTTTTGAATACAAACGGGGACCAAGCCGTTTAACTCGCCCCCAGGTAGACCCAATGTCCCAGCCGCAGACAGCACCGGACTACGCCAACTTGGGGAACTCGGCGCGCGCCCAAGCACTTCGTTGGCCAAGATCGCCGCCTCCCCGCAGACGTCAGACCCCCGCCCCTTTTCAGTTTTCCAGGGGATTCCCCCTGCAGTATCTGGAGGAGACGCACACACACCCCGAGTCCCCCAGCGCCCCAAAGGCCAGACAGGAGAGGCCGCCCAACGGTCCAGGCCAGGAGGATCACTGCCTTCTCCCACTGGGAGGATAGCCCCGGGCGGGGTCGCCCCGGTGCCGCCATTCCTCACTCCGTGTTTACCTCACTGTAGAAGGTCATAAATGCTTCCTCCGTGCTGCCTCCTCCACCCGAAGCCCCGCTCTCTCCTGGAGCCGCCATTTCCCCGGCCCAGCGACCACGTGACTCTTCTGCGCAGGCGCTACCTCACGTGATTCTCACAGGCCCGCCTCTCTAGCCCCGGCCCCTTCTTTGCATCTCTTAAAGGGGTCGCAGCCCAACCAGATACCTTTAAATAAACTTTTAAATTGGGGTTCCCCAGGTGGCGATAGTGGTAAAGAACCCACCAGCAATGCAGGAGACATAATGAGACAGGGGTTCGATCTCTGGGTTGGGAAGATCCTCTGGAGGAAGGCCTGGCAACCCACTCCAGCATTCTTGCCTGGAGAATCCCATGGACAGAAGAGCCTGGCGGGCTACAGTTGCAAAGGGTAGAACACGACTGAGGCTACAGCCCATACGGTCTCAAAGAGTCGGAGACTGAAGTGATTTAGTACGCATGCACAGATGCCATACAATTAACCATTTTGAAGTGAACAGTTCAGTGGTCTTTAGTATATTCCCAGTATTGTGTAATCACCATCTCTGTCTAGTTTCAAAACAGTTGCATCGCCCTAAAAGGACACTTAGTACCTAATAAGCAGTTTCTTCCCATACTTGCCAATGTCTCTATGGACTTACTTATGCTGGATGGTTCATGTAAATGCAGTCATACAACATGTGACCTTTTGAGTCTGGCTTCCTTCACTTAGCATAATGTTTTCCTGGTTCCTTCGAAACACAGCACACATCATCACTTCATCACTTTTTATGGCTGAATAGTATTCCATCATATGCGTATACCAAAATTTGTTTATTCATTTGTCAGTTGATGGACACTTGGGTTGTTTCTATCTTTTGGCTATTGTAAAATGGTGCTGCTATGAAGGTGAGAGTACCAGTTTTCTACTGGGGCAGGGGGTATGTACCTAGAAATGAAATTGCTGAGTCAGATGGTAATTCTATACTTAACCTATTGAGCAATTGCCAAGCTGTTTTTTGCAGTGGCTGAACCATTTTACAATCCCACTAGCAATGTAGGAGGGTTACAATTTATCCACATCCTCACCAATGCTTGTTGTTTTCCATTTTTTTTTTTAAATTGCAGCCACCCTAATGCCTCTATGGATCCTTTGCACAAACTCAGCAAGACCTTCCACTGGATGCCCACCCAGGAGATAATAAAAAAACAATATTATCTGAGAACCAGAAGCAGAGTTTCTGAAACAGATGCTGTGCTGTGTGCTTAGTCACTTAGTCTCATCCGACTCTTTGCAACCCCATGGACTATAGACCACCAGACTCCTCTGTCCATGGAGATTCTCCAGGCAAGAATACTGCAGTGGGTTGCCAGACCCTCCTCCAGGGGATCTTCCCAACCCAGGGATCAATGCAGGGATCCTGCATTACAGGTGGACTCTACCATCTGAGCCACCAGGGAAGCCCTCTGAAACAGGAATGGCATTTAAGTATCTAGAGACACACACAATTATTATCACTAAGTAGTGGGCTTATGCGTGATTATTATTTCTAGCCTTCTGCTTTCATGCTTTTTCAAGTTTTGTGAAATGAACATTTGAAAATGTGCCCTGCAGCCATTTCCTCCCATGTAAGTCATACAAACCAGGGCTGGTATTTTTCCAGCGAAAAGGTGATCACTAAAAACACTTCAACAAAGTCACAGAAACCAAAGAAGATATTTTTATAATCATGAATAAGATCTGGCCCAACTCTCTCAACTAAAAAAGAAAAAAAAACTGGGCCCAGGGGGAGAAAATGACATAGGCAAAGGCTATGAACTACTTACTATTATCTTGATGACATTTGTTAGATGGCTAACAGAAGACCAAGGTAATGTCTTCCCTAGACGCCTACCTATGCTCTTTTCAATTTCATTGCACCACACTGCCAAAAGTCCTGTTATCAAGTCCATTTGATAACACATCAATGCATCTCGCAAATATTAATTCAGTAATGACTTGACAACTTCATAAACTGGAAGGCGCAAAAAGACAAAAACAACAGAACAGTGAGCTATTGATAGAATGACGAAGGAGGGCAGAAAAGTTTTCTCTGAGCTGAAGTTTGAGACTTGAGAGTGAAATGTCGGTGCAACAACAACAAAAAAACCATATATTCATACACCAAAAAAAAAAAAAAAAAAAATTCCCACAACTCTAAAAGACTAAGTAAGGGCACCCTGGACGTCAGCATCATGGACAGAGCCGCCCACTCCGCCCCCCGCCCCCTTATTACCCATCTTATTGATGCTAGTAGTCCAGAAAAATGAAGGCTTCCTTTGGGTGTTTAACAATAACATGAAAGTAGGAATGGTTAGGTGGGGGTGGACGCCACGGCTAATTCTGATAGATCCAAGAGCCGAGACCTTGGCTACTGCCTCTCTGTTCAGCTTTTCCCCAGTTTCCTCCATTATTTTTCTCCAGTCCTTTGACCCTGGAGCCCTTGCTAGGGGTTGGCTAGGAATGGGCCCGCCCCTCTGTCAGGATTCGCCACAAGCTACAGGAACCCCGCCTTCCCCTCGCATGATTCGCTACTCCTGGCTTCATCCCGCCTCTCCAGCGAAACGACTGGCTGCCTGGCCAGCAGGGCCGTTAGCGCCTGCGAAGCTGCGCCTAAGGAGAAGTTGCACTTCAGGTCACTGGAGGGGTGCTTCACTGACAGCAATGGCAGCCACGGCGTTGGCCGCGCGTACCCGGCAGGCCGTCTGGAGCGTCTGGGCAATGCAAGGCCGAGGCTTTGGCTCGGAACAGGTACGCCAGCGGTAGGGTCCGTTGCCCCAGCCCTGAGCGCGGATCCTTCTTCTCCCCCCGGCCCGCGTCTGTACCAATGCCCCCGTCTCTCTCCTCAGGGAGATAATGTTAGGTCCAGTGCGGGCGCGGTCCGGGACGCCGGTGGGGCCTTCGGAAAAAGAGAGCAGGCCGAAGAGGAACGATACTTCCGGTGAGGCCCTTGGGACCCCGAGTCCAGCCCTAGATCCCTCACGGCCTTCCAGCCCCTCTTCAATTTTCAGTTGCCCCCACGCATCCCTCCCTGGCGTCCTGCGGCGTCCCATCCACACCCGACCCCACCCACCTCACCGCCCCCCCCCCCCCCAAGACAGACCTAACAGGCCCCTGAACCTGTTAACACCCAAGGCTTGAGGGCCCGACTGTCGCCACCTGTGGGTTCCCGGTGCCCTGCCGAATCCCACGGCCCCCATATCCCAGTCATTTACACCTGCGGGTCTGCAGACCACGACTCATCTCTTCCTGAGTCATCTACCATCTCCACCCATGGAGTTCTACCCGCATCATGCAGAATGCCCCCCAGATTCCTCCCAGAGCGTCTAGATCGACGGTTCCACTATCTGCAAACTCAGTGAGCCTGACTCTATTGGCCCTTATGCCAGGCCTTAGCTTGCCAGCCCCGCGAGGATGGATTCCCTGATTCTTCAGACCCTCAGTCATTTCTAAACCCTTATGCCTCTGCAACTCGCCTGGGCGAGTAGGATCGTAGGAGCATGTGGCAGCTGCACGTGGTTGGGACACCCTTCCCCCCTTTTCTTGGAGACTTGGTCCGCTCCGCCCAGCCCAGCCCAGCCTTTAGGAGCATGGATTGGACTGGGCCTGTCTGTCCTGTTTACCAACCTCCAGTTATCTTACACTGACTTGTATCCACCATGGGTAGCAGCGTGGAACTAATCTATCTTCAGCTCTCCTTGGCCTGTCTTTTCTCTTCTGCCCTCTCTTGCTCACTATTAAGGATTATCACCATGGCACCTGTCATACCAGAGAGACAAGGTGCAGCCCTTAGAGACCATCTAATTGACCTCCCACATTTTACATTTATGGAAAACAGAAGCCCTTACGTGGCCAAACCAACATTTGAATCATCCATTCTTGAGACCTAAATTGGACTCAAGAGACCACTTTTATTTTTCCTCCCCTTCATTTTGGCCTTTACAGAGGGCCTTGCAGTCCTCAGGCGAAGACAGCCCTAGATAAACTGTGGTGGGACACATATATTTGTCCTTTAACTATGCACCTTTATATCTCCCCACCTCCTTTTGCTCTTTACCCCCCCCCCCCCCCCCCGCAGAAGGGGATTCTGTTCTTTGGGTTGTTTCTCTAATAAGTCCTTTAGGTAGGGACTTAAGTCACACCTTTCTGGAATTTTCTACTGAATCTGAAAGGACTCCGTCATTAGCGGAGGAATTTCAGGCACTAGCACCAGGACAATGGAATCATTTTTGGCCATCTCCTATAAATGTTATATCTTAGGATGGAGTCGTCTTTCATAGTGGGGCTTGAGGAGGGTAGAAGAGGATGGCGAGCCAGACTCCTGTGGGGTTGGGATGCCTGTTCTTTGCCTCAGGTGCTTAGAGATCTCTTTGGGGTGAAGAACTGGGATTAAACCAAGAGCCACTCTGTCCTTGTAGAGCTCGTGCTAAAGAACAGCTGGCCGCCTTGAAGAAACACCATGAAAATGAGATCTCTCATCATGCAAAGGAGATTGAGCGCCTGCAGAAAGAAATTGAGCGGCATAAGCAGTCGATCAAGAAACTAAAACAGAGTGAGGATGACGACTAAGTGCAAAGTTCTCCATAGAATGGCTACCTATTATTGCCCACTTCTATGTAGACATAGTTCTGGTTTAACCAAAATCAACCTGTGTGCTTCCAACAAATAAATTGTCATTAGTGAACTGTGTGTAGTGCTTCTGTCTGAAGAGGGGTGAGGGGACACACTACTGGGCCACTGAAATGAATCAGAAGACAGGGTACCCGCAGTAGGGAACTTGGAGACAAAGCACAGTGTGATGAGTGCTGTGCAACATAGGCAGGAAACAGTGTGACACAGAGAACAGAAAGTCCCTTTTCCCTGTCAGACACTAGTCAAGAGGTGTCAGAGAAAGCTTCTTAAGGGATAAATGTCCATGTATAAGATCAAGAGCAGTCTGGAAAACAGGAGTGGTTGCTTCAGTTCAGTTCAGTCGTGTCTGACTCTTTGTGACCCCATGAACCGCAGCACACCAGGCCTCCCTGTTCATCACCAGCTCCCCGGAGTTTACCCAGACTCATGTTGATTGAGTCGGTGATGCCATCCAACCACCTAATCCTCTTCGTCATCCCCTTCTCCTCCTGCCCTCAATCTTTCCCAGCATCAGGGTCTTTTCAAATGAGTCAGCTCTTCGCATCAGGTGGCCAAAGTATTGGAGTTTCAGCTTCAACATCAGTCCTTCTAATGAACACCCAGGACTGATCCCCTTTAGGATGGACTTTAAAAGTTGTAATTCAAGGCACCATCAGTAATAATACCATTTTGCATTTATAAAATGGATTAGACAACTCCGTGTGAACTAATTACCCTTGTTCTAATTATCCTCATGCAGGTTGAGAAGGCTGGAATTAGAAATCATGTGTCACCTTGGCATCCAGGTGATTAGACTCCTAATCTGTTAACAGCACAGAATCAGAATTATCCCTGAAGTTACATTTTGCTTTGCCGAGCATCCTCTTGCTTTAGACTTTAAGGCCTTGATTATCATACAAACTAGTTGTATAACTCTTGTAGACAAAAATGCAAAAAACAACTTCAAGTGACATATGGGCCATTGGCAAGATATTTTCAATTCACCAGTTCAGTAGTAGATCATTTGCCCCAGAATTGTGATGTCATTTGTTTTAAGACAGATGACTTTTTGTTTACACAAAAGGCTTTAGGACCATTTAGTGGTAACATCTTGGACAAGTCATTGACCCTATCCTTGCAGACCAGACACTTGATGGCTGTTTCCAAAACTTACCCCTAGTGCTGCTGATGCAAAGTTTATTTCTAGATATTCTTGAGGTATGAGTGCTGAGATTCTAGTGGCCAGCAACAAAATGACCTTAAAGATGAAGTACAAGAAATAGTCATATTAACTCACATACCTTTTTAAAATTTTAAAACACTGCAACCAGTTTATTTGTTTTTGTTTTGTTTTTTTTTTTGCAACCAGTTTAAAAAGTGGTTGAGGAACAAGTAACATCTTTCATTTTGGACTTTTGTGACCAAAACAAACAAACAAAAAAACAGCACACAAAATCTTGGGAATTCTCTGGTGGTCCAGTGGTTAGGACTCTGCTTTCACTGCCATGGGCCTGGAGTTTGATTCCTGGTGGGGGGCATAAATTCCCACATGCCCCGAGGCCAAACAGGCAAAGAAAAAAAAATTGGAAATTATAGTATTTTGTGACTTCTTATAATCAATACTTTCCTTATTGGGAATGATGTTCCTAAGTTGATTCCTCAACAGCAGTGTATCATTTGCTCTTGTCCTATGTTTTAAATAAAAATCAGTCTAATGATGATTGGATCAAAGAGTTGAAACTTTAAAGTGAAGACAAGGAATCATGAGTTCAATTTTTTTTTTTTTGCTTCACCTGGCAACTTGTGGAACTTCCCCATCAGGGATCAACCTGAAACCCCTGCAGTGGAAGTCCAGTGGTTAAAACTGAGTTTCAACTCTTAAAAAAAGTTTTTGGAGCCACCTAATTTAAAACTACCTGAGCTTTATGAAAAGGGTAACTCATGGTCTTTTTGTTAGGACATACCTGTAGTTAGTTTTCCTATCATGCTATAGTAATGGAAAGATATAACTGTTTTAAAATACTGTAAATTTTTTAAACAAATATATGTTAAAAAATCCTAAGATAATTTATGTGATATGAACCAGTTGCCACAGACACAGCACAGGTCATGAGATTAACCAAAGACCCAGAAGCACCCTCAGGTGGTTCTTAGAATTTGGGAAATACTACAGCAAGGGATTCTTAAAGAAGCCACAAGGCAGCAGCAGCAGCATCACCTGGGAACTTGTTAGAAACACAGATTCCCAGGCCACATCCCAGACCTGCTGAAACTGAGGGTAGAACCCAGCAATGTCATTAAACAAGCTCCCCCAGGTGATTCTGATGTGCCCTGAAGTTTGAGGACCATTCTAAATTCTAATGAAATTTGCTGACATTCTTGGGCACAGGGCACTTTTAATAATCGTCAGACATAGGCAACATATGTGTCAACATAGGCAGATTACTAAGTACAATGAAAATAACTATATATTTAATTTAGTTTAAAAATATTGTACCTATTTGGTTGTTCAAGGTCTTAGTTGCAGCATGTTGGATCTAGTTCCCTGACAAGGGATAGAACCTGGGCCCCCTGCATTGGGGCACAAAGTCTCAGCCACTGGAGCACCAGGGAAGTCTCTAATATAGTTCTTAATATGGATGCTATTTTAGGACTTTTAAAAAAAGTGTATTAAGAATTATCCTGTAAAAAAATTATTCTGTACATATTAGTATTTTCAAACATTGCATTCCACAGAATACAATTTGGAAAATGCTACACTGGTTTGTTGCATTAGTTAAAATCTTTTTTGTTTACAAGTAACAGAAACCAACACTGGCTGGCTTATGGAGGAGGAAAACAGTAATTTACTGGAAGAACAGGCTATTGCCTCACAGAACCTCAAGACCTGAACAAACAAAACCCAGGAAAGGCAGGGGCCAGAGAAGCCCTGAAAAGTGCAGGAGATCTATCTAAGTAGCTTTCTAACCACCTGTGTCAGAAACATTTTTTAAAAAAAAAGAATTGCTATGGAATTTTACATGAGATTATTTAACAATTATTTAACAATTGCACAACAATTTATATTTATGGAGCACTTTATAATTATTTACTCATTAAATCTCACGATATTTCTGGTAAATAGGTTCATACACCATAAGCTTAATTTTATAACCAAGGTAACAAAAGCAGGGAACAGGGAATAACTTTCTCAAGGTCACACAAGCAGGTTTGTGCTGAGCGAGGACTTGACTTCAGAACTCCTGTTTCCAGTCTTGAATTGCAGTGGTTCAGCTACCTGGTAACTCCCTGCCCAACGCGGAACAGGTTGGGGGTGGTGGGTCTTGCCAGGACCATTGGGTATGATGCAGGGTTATTCCACTATTTTCAAATATGCATTGCTGCATATTGTATGGATTCCAGTTTCACATTTCTAAAATGTATGCATATAATTTTCAATACAAAAATTATATTTAGTATCTACTACATGCTGGATACTTGGTAAACACTGGGAATTCAACTACAAAATAATTCCAACTCCTGTCCTTTTGGAACCCACAGCCTATTGGCAAAGTCAAGTGGTTAAACAACAATGTAGTTCTAATGGGCTGAGTTTGGAATGTTGGAGGAGGTCGTGGGACAGGCACTCGATGCAGACCTGGGAGAGACATAATAACGGCCAGGTAAACAGGAGAGAATGGCACTCAAGAATGAGTGACAGCATCTGGCATTGAGAGAGGTCCTTGGTTCCAGGGGAGTTGACAATAGTTCAGCCTTTCTATCTGCAGCATGGAGGGAACGCTGCGGGGCTGGGGAGGAGGTAGTGTAGTAAGTTCTGTGAATCTTCCAGGGTTGAGCTGACCACCTGTTAGCTGAATCAATCACAGTGTGATCACTCCTTAGTCCTTCCTTTCTTCGTTCCATCCTCTCTCCCTCCTTTGCTCCTTTCCCTCTTCTTTCTAAGTACAGTCCTTTATTAGAGTAGAACACACCTAAACCACTTTTACCCTTGAGGAATCTTCAACCTCAAACATCAGAAAGGAACAAAAAGCTTGGGAGCAGGCAAAGGAACAAAGAAACACAAGGAGACGTATGTCAGCACTTCACACGCTGGGCCACCCAACGCAATCTCGCAATTAGCAGATGCCACAGGTTCCCCCTTGCTCATCATTCTTTTTATTAACTTGAGATAAAATTCACATGACATAAAATTAATCATTAACCATTTAAAGTGTAAAATTCAGGGGCATTTAGTATATTCACAATATTGTGCAAACATTGCCTCTATTTAGTTCGAGACATTTTCATCACCCCAGAAGGAAATTCCATACCCATTAAGCTTTCACTCTCCATTTCCTCCTCACCCCAGCCCCTGGCAACCACTAGCCTGCTTTCTGTCGCCATAGACTTGCCTGTTCTGAATCAACATGCAAATGGAATCATACAAAATGTGACATTTTGTGTCTAGCTTCTTTCACTTAAGAGTAAGGTTTTCAAGGTCCATCTGTGTAACATGATTTAAACTTTCATGTATGTATTTTTGACTGCACTGGGTCTTCCTGGCTGCACGTGGGCTTTCTCAAATTGCAGTCAGCAGGGGCTTCTCTCTAGTTGCAGTGCCTGGGTTTCCCATTGCGCTGGCTTCTCATGGCTCTAGGGTACATGGGCTTAGTTGCTCTGCGGCACACGGAATCTTCCCGAACCAGGAATGGAACCCATGTCGCCTGCATTGGCAAGTGTATTCTTAACCACTAGACCACCAGGGAAGTCCCATTCCATTTTTAAAAATTTATTTATTTTTAATTGAAGGATAATTGCTTTACAGTATTGTGTTGGTTTCTGCCAAACGTCAACATGAATCATCCATAGGTTTACATATATCCCCTCCCTCTTGAACCTCCCTGCCACCTCCCTCCCCATCCCACACCTCCATTCCATTGTTTAATAGCAGAATAACATTCCATTGTGTGGCTATATCA